CCCCCCCCCCCCCCCCCAATTCACCTGTTCATCCTCTTATCTTGTCCTCTCATCCAAGACCTCTGAGGCACAACATATCCAATTTGGCATTAAGCATCCAGTTGTGACCATCCCACTTGCTGATGGTTCTCCTGGCTGACCAAACCTGCTGCCCATGAACTTGCAGAGTGCAGCTGCTTCTCCTGCATGACCATCAGTATTTCAACAGTTGCTGCACCAGTGTCTCTTGGCTTCAGAAAATGCCCCATTCATGTTCAAGCTCTTCTGTGCGGGTGTGTATGTGGTTTAGTACAACGGTAGCTGTGGGATAGTATCCACTCTCAGTCCTTCATAGAGTCAAGCTTTTGAACCTGACTTATAACATTGTGAAGGACTGGAAAGGTCACATTTCTTCCCTAAACTTCCTGATAACAACCAACTTTCTTTCCTCTGTCACTTATGTTAGGCATCTTTTAAACTCAATGTGCAATTGCAGGAGGTTGCTTTCAACGCCAGCCCTTACAGGTATGTTCCTCACAAAGTACTAATCTTGGAAGCATCTTTTTTCAGCTGTTTCTCCCCCAGGATCCCACTGGAGTTTTCAAAAGGGCAACATTCCCTCTGTCTGCTTCTCTGCCCTAGTCTGAGATGATGCACAAAACAGTGTTTATTACAAAGGCAAGCACTTGGAAGCCCAAACAAAAAAACAAGAAAAGTTCAGTAGGACCACCCACCTGTAAGAAAACCTGGCCTGGCCTAGTAGGATTCATTTTCTTCTCCTCTCTCAGACAGCTGTATTAGTTTTAATCCAGGCACAGACATAGTTTAACAGAGCATAGTTGAACTATGGCCTTATTTATTTAGTTTTTATTTATTTATTTTTGGATTTATATCCTGCCTTTTTCCTACAAAGGGCTCAAGGCAGCTTACATCATTCTCCTCCTCATCTTATCCCCACAACAACAACCCTGTGAGGTAGGTTGGGCTGAGAGTCTGTGACTGGCCCAAAGTCACCCAGTTGGCTCCATGGCCGAGCGGGGACTCGAACCCAGGCCATCTGAGTCCCAGTCCCATGCTCTTAACCACACCACCACACTGGCCTTAACTTTCATAAGATGTAGTGATGACTTTAAAAGGGGACTGGACAAAATCATTGTGAAGAAGGCTATCAATGGCTACTAGTCCTGACAGATACATGCAGCTTCCCAGTAGCAGAGCAATATGCATGTGTATACCAGTTGTCGGGGAGCTTGGGCAGGAAGGAGGGTGCAGTTACACTCATGTCCACCTCATGGGACATGTCCACAAGCAGCTGGCTGGCCACTAGGTGAACTGAATGGCAGACTAGATGGACCTTTCATCTGGTCCAGCATAGTTCTTCTTATGTCCTTAATCCCCTTTTTTTCTTTTGAGGGCTACGCTCCCTGGAGGTAATCAGCTGGGGTTGAAGCCAGTGCTGGACAAGCTCACAGCCAAAAGTGGATGAAGCTAACTCCTTCCTCTCTTTTTCGCATTCTACTTTTTTCCATTTGTCTCTCTTCCTGACAGTCCCTCCTTCTTTCTCTCCTCTCCCACTCCTGTTGCAGTTGGTTGCTGGAGAAGAGGCACATCATGTGTTGCTGGAGATCTAATCTTATTGTGGTCCAGCAAGAATGTTAGTATGGTCAGTCCAGCAGGACCCACAGACAAAACCCTCCTGAACTTGTCCCTTCTATTCATCCTTGCAACCTACTTGACCATCTGCCTCTTCCTCAGGCCCAGATAATGTTAGTAGTGAAAAGGAGAACAAGATTTCAAGGACTGTGTGTTCACAGGCTCTCTGCCCGTCAAGCAAGCAAGATGAAGAGCCATGGCAGCCAGTAACAAGTTAGACTGACTGAAGGGGGGATCCTTTTGAGGATGCCTTGCCCAAGAACTGGGAGATGGCACTGAAAGGTAACCTGCCGTATGAAAGTAGGCCATGATATTAGATTGAGGGCGGCAGGCTGGCCACCATTGTTCTAACTACACAAAACATCAGCACACTTTTATTTCCAATAATGCGCCTCTATTTTCTTTATTGAAAAAGCCTTTTGGCTAC